TTTGCACAGAGTGCTGCTCACTGAATTATTGAGAAATCAGCTTTTCTTTGCTAGCTGGGGGGGATGGGTGCGTAGCACAATTATCTTCAGTACATTTAACATAGCGTGTAAGAAAGAATAAGCTCGCTATTATTTATCAAGCCTGTTTGCTCCACGATGTGTTCAGGGCCAGGTCATCACATATTAGTCACTTGCTGAAGAATCAATAGATGGTGATGAATGAGCTGCTAATCCAGCGGTAGAGCGAGACCTACCCAGACCTTCCTGTAACCACTTGCGTGTGAAGCTGGGAAGGCCGTGTTAACCCTCCGTGACTCATCTTCTTTTTGGCTGGAGAGGACTCATCACAACCCATTGTGAAGCGACCCGTAGGGACTGCGGATAAGAGTCTGAGCTCAAATACAGCTCCCAAGTGAGGTGAGGAGGCTTCAAGTAAGGCTTCGCCTGGCACTTTCCACAGCCTTGCTGTTTTCCCGGCAGACTGATCCAGGTTACAACTGCATTATAGCAGAGCTGGCCTAGAGCCCGGACACCCAGAACGCCGACAGCAGGGAAAGCAGATGAAAAGCACGCAGGATATGGCATAGCAAATGGTGTCTTAACATGAGAAGAAAACAGAGCTGATGCAGGCTTCCAAGCAGCCTCTGCCCAGTGCAGAGGACAGCTACAGGAGCTGCTGGGTTTCTTCAAACCCCCATGAATCTGCGGGGACCCATATGCCACTCGTGGCTACCTCAGGCAGGGAGCAACGGCACTCCTCCTTTTGCAAGCTTATGGTGGGTTCTCTGCTCCAGACTCCAGAGAATCCCACCACTGCCCCTGAGTCAGGGGTTTCCTCTAAGCAAAGCACTTCTGAAGACCTCAGAACAGCTCATTGGAAACAGCAGGCACAGAGGCTTAGGTGGAAGCTGGGCGGGATGATCTGTGCTGATGGGATTCAGATGCAACGCCAAGAGATGCATGAAGTGCAGAAAACACCTTGACTCGTCACATTCATACACCAGACCCAGGACAAGCGCGCAGAGCAGGACCAGGGGACTCTCTATTTGTGGAAGAGAGCACAAAGGAGCCATTTTCCTATGGGCATTGCTGGCCTCAGGCAGGGTGGAGGGGCATAGCCACCTCCTGCCCGGAACAGCCATCCCCACTGCAGCCAAGCTGGTGGGGGAAGCCTGTCCCAGCCCCACCACACTGCTGAGCAAGCTGTGAGATGAGAGGGGAAGGACAGACAGCCCAAGCCTTTCACTTCCCCTTCCAAACAGTTCTAAAAATGTTGAGAGCAATGTACTTCTCGTAGTCAGAGTACAGAGAGCACACAACTGATCTGGACTGAGTTTCCGAGCCCATGAGCTTGATTCAGTTGCCCAAAGACAGACGCTGGCCCACTGACCACCGAATTCTTGTAAGGTTGGATAGTACTGGTCCCATTTTAGGGCTGTCAGGAAAGGTACATGGAGCAAGCACTGAGACAGAGGCTTCCCTGCTAAGTCTCTGTCTGTTAGCATCTCTCTAATGCTGAGATGTGCAGCAAGCTCCGGCTAGGTCACTGCACATCGGTTTTGCGGGAAGTGACTTCTCATTCCAAGGAAGGAGAAAAAAAAGGTCAAGGTGGTTTGGGTCCCGCTGGCTCTGCCCTGGGCTTGCAGAGGCCACACAGCTGTGTTCCCTGCGGGAGATGTCCCATGCAGCCCGAGAAGTCTCCTGGACACACCTGGTCTAGCATCTAGAGACAAGTGGTATCGAGGGTAGTGGGAGAGGCAACTGCAAGCACAGAGGTTTGAACCCTTACAGACACCTCAAAGGGGATTTTTTCCAAGTAAATCTTTCCCAGAACAGGATTTAAAATGCTCAGACTCTCCACACAACCTCACATGGGCCACAGCGTTTGGACCCTCTGTCAGCTGCGGGCCTCAGACTGGGTCCAGAAGCCCTTTTCTCAGGAAATCCCTCACAAGAGCAGTCAAGAGACCTCAGGCACCTGGGTGCAGCAGTGCTGGCAGCTGACCACGGGCACAGAGCCACATTACCAGCACCCACCGGCACCCCACAGATCCCCACCGGCCTCTTCTCTGCCAACCTCTGTGGGCAGCTGGCTGGGTTACTCCTCCTGCTTCAGCCCGATGCCCCAAAGGGGGACAGCAGAACCACCCAGCAGGACAGATTCACTTGCTCACTATTAGATTTGCCAACAGGGATGCCTGAGAATGGACTCTCGCATGTGACAGGCAGATGTGCCCTGTCTCAGAAACACTAAATGACCAGCTCACAAGTGGCTTCGTGTGACATCTGTGTGCTGGGGTCAGAGACAGAGGCAGGGCTGAACAGAACATGACATCATCTGACGGGTGGCAACGGTGCTGGGGAAAAAAGCCACAGCAACTTCTTTCCTACCCCTTCATTAAAGCCAAAATATATGACCTTACTCCTAAAAGTGTGTTACGCACAAGCTCTCGCCAGCTCCTCCAGGCTGCAAGCCCAGCCTCCCAACCAGTAGGACCCAGACATTTGGCTGACACCCTACAAAACACAAAAAGAATTCTTAAGCCTGCAGCGGGACTTGTTCCTCCACAGGCACATCTCGGCTTCACGTTTCAGGGGGACGTAGCAGGACGGGACATCAGCTGTGCAGGTCGGGCAGACCACACTGGTCCAAGATTCAGTGACATTAGAATCAGGCTTTATCAGGCAGGAGGAAGTTACCAATGCCTGTTGCAGAGAAAATAAAGCACTTGGGTAAGCTTATTTTTGTTGTTGCATTTTTCTTTATCACCTTCTGGAAGCCTCACAGCATTTAACTAACAAGTTTTTCAAAAAGTTCATAATTCCTTACTTTGTAGATGGAGAAACAAAACACAAAAGTGGGTCAAGCAATGCCCACATCGGGAAGTACCCAGTTACAGGCACTGGGAGCCTGCCTTTTTCCACAGCTCACATTCAGAACAGGCTCCTACCGACCCCGGCTGTGGCTGCACATTAACTGTTCCAGCACAGCACATCACAGGCGATCCCAGTGGCCAAGGCTTTTCAAAGCAAACACCTAGGAAGAGCTGGCACCCTGCAGCGCACAGGATCTGTGGGGAATAGGCAGCCAAACCCCCGCTCTCCGGTGGGGTCTACCGTGACCGTTTGTTTGCCCCCCTCTGTCCTTACTTGCTACCTATCTGCCAAGCTCTGCAAGGAAGGCAGCAGCACTTTGGGTGGCAAGATGCCTAATTAACGGCCTGAGCAGAGAATGAGGCAGGAAAAGCAGAACGGGACCTTGGATTCAAATATATAAGAAGGGGGTTTGCTTCTTTGCATTTATTGGTATAATCAAAGATTTATTTCTAGCAAATTCTAATTGCTGTGTTGCTGTTCAAAACCAAAAGGTTCTCAAAGCATTTTTACATCCCAAGGCAAACAGGGGAGCCGCGGCACAGCAGCAGCAGAACAGGATAAATTCAGTACAGATCACTTAACTGATACAGTATCATTATTTATTTGTTGATATAGAGGATGTTTTGTCTAGCATTTGTCAAACAAAGATACAAATAAGCAACCGAAATAGCAATGTTTATATAAGTCAGGGTTGCTCAGTCACTACTTCACTGTTGAGCTCCTGGTTGTGCCCTCACCATAATGGGATTTTAATGTCATTTGTTCATACCGTTTTCTATTTAATAGCTGGAAATAGAACATCACACCCACCTTCGGGCTGGCAGCAGGGCTGGTACACGCAGGTCCCCTCCAGACATGGTCCTACTACTGATGGTCTCAATTCTGTTTGCCCCTTCCCCTTACACCCTATTTTCCCATCCCCAGCTGCCACCAAACCTTCTCCCTGTTTCACTCCTTCAGACTAGGCACCTGACACCCAGCAACAAGAAGCAAAACCACCCAAACACCCACGCTGTAGCCTGCTAACCCAATTTATTGCGTCTGGGAGGGCCAAGCCAGCTGCATCTCCGGGCGGGCAACGAAGAGCAGCTGGGGGGGATTTGGTACCTCCCCTATAAATTGAGGCCAGGTGGGAGTTTTAGGGTTTTTTTCCCCCCCTTTGTCTAGGGGAAAAGAATCATGTCACTGTGCTATAGGAGCTGGGACACTGCCTGAGCCAACACTGTAAGCCTTCTGCCTTTTGGGGGGGGGGTTCCTCCACCCCCAGAGCATCGTGGGGACCCTGGGATGGGGATGCGGGTGGTGGATTTGTACCGAATATTGAAGGATATGTGTATGATATTAATATCAATATCATACCCACACCACCCCCC